GCAAGCAGTTACACAATTTTTTGGTTTCTGTATATGCTCAACTCATTACTTCTAAGCATTTTAGCCCTCGGGTTACATCAATTTTTACACCACCATTCCCTGAAGGTTTTATGAAGAACACCTAAGAGGGGCGCCTGGGTGGCTCAGTCGTTGGGCATCTGCCTTCGGCTCGGGTCATGATCCCGGGGTTCTGGGATCGAGCCGTGCGTGGGGCTCCCTGCTCCGCGGGAAGCCCACTTCTCCCTCTCCCACTCCCCCTGCTTGCGTTCCCTCTCTCGCTGTGTCTCTGTCAAATAAATAAATAAAATCCTAAAAAAAAAAAAAAAAAAAAGAACACCTAAGAGGTCGGTGGGCTGAAACAGGCCAGGTCACTTCTGGCACGGGTACCACTATAGTAGCTCCATCATCAGCCTCTCCTTGATCTCAAAGCACTTCCGTTTTCCCTTCCTCTTTCCTTAATTCCCACTCCTTTCCTCCTCTTCTGCCTATGGTATTTATAGAAACTGCTTAAACACACCCCACCACCTGTCCTATACAAAGGGCTAAAAAGGCTGCTGACTTCCATCTGAGAAGGTCTCCTAAAGAAGTATCAGATATCTGGCCTCCTAAGCAAATAGAACTTTCTAAAAATGGTAGGTATCAGCATGGTACTATGCAGATTCAGACTGACTGGGTTTAATGAATTCTGGTTCTGCCATTTACTAGCTATACGAATTGTTATTTAACTTCTCATGGAACCAAACACCTACGTAATAAAGTTCCTAAAAGCAGCTGGTACATTACAGGTGCTTAATAAAAAGCAAATTCAGCTTAATACCCTGCCCAAACATCTCAATTCCTTTAGAAATTTTCGATTAATCCCCAAATCCAAAGCCCACTGTACTCGTTCCCAGAGAAGATTCTACAGAATCTCAAGACACTTCTCAAAATGTCTTGTGGTCAAATACCTACCTCTCTTGGGAGGGTCATAATTTCACATGAGCACAGTAAAAGGCTGAGAAGTCCAGCAATAAATAAACCTACTTCCTTTTACCGTGGCATCCTTTTTTTGGTTGTAAACCTGTAAGTAACTCACTGAAGAACTTCTCCAGAACCACTGGATGGAGGGATACTCTGTAACTGTTTAGTAAAACATGAAGACCAGGTTTGAAAACTGCAAAGATGAGGTAAACAAATGAAACACAGATGGCGGAGGTACAAAAAGGCAGCATTAGGTAATGAACAGTCCCACAAGATCTCTACATAGAGTGGCTTGGTCCAGCACCACCTTGAAGAGGCAACGCAAACAATAGGCACCCTAACTTCTGCCCCTCCTTGCCCCCAAATGAGGCAAGCTTTTATGCTTCCCTCACCCACTAGAACAATGGGTAGAAGGCTCTGGGTTAAGCAGGTAACAACAGGTACCATCATATTTCCATGTCTTGGATCCAAGGTCCTTTCGCACTTCTTGATGCACTCCATCACCCTCCATTCCAGCACTCACTCCCTTACACACGCTATCTTACCGGTGCTCACCAACCCACACCATGCCTGCCTGTGAGCCTCTCAATGCTGAGAACAGTTTTCCATTTTGCTTCAACTCCTGCTCTCCCAACCTCATAGTTATGTTCATAAGACTAATATAGCCAATGCTTATTAAGTACTTACTATATGCTAGCCCCATTCCTAAGCATTTAATACACTAAAACTCATTTAATCTTCACAACAACCCTATGAGCTCAGTATTACTATTTTCTTTTATAGATGGGGAAACTGAGGCAGAGGCAAGTTAAAGAACATGCCCAGGCACCTGGGTGGCTCAGTTGGTTAAGCGACTGCCTTCGGCTCAGGTCATGATCCTGGAGTCCCGGGATCGAGTCCCATATCGGGCTCCCTGCTCGGCGGGGAGTCTGCTTCTCCCTCTGACCCTCCTCCCTCTCATGCTGTCTCTCATTCTCTCTCTCGCAAATAAATAAAATCTTTTAAAAAAATAAAATAAAAAAAAAAGAACATGCCCAAAGTTATACAAGTAGTAAGTGGTCAGGAAGAATGATTCAAACACAAGCTCCAGAGCTCAGACTTATAACTACTCTCCCAGGTCACACTTGTTCAGTTTTGTCAATTGTTTACTGGCCAAGGTCTAGTAATACCTCATTGTTTGAAGAAACATGTGAATCAGTGATTGCAAAGCCTTCCCAAGAGGTCTACCTTGAAGTCCAACCTGACAGGGTATGGCCAGTAGACTTGACCAAGCCCTGCCTTACGGCCCTGAGGCACAACCAGGATGCTCCCAGACTATGACAGCCTGTGGAAGCTGAACATCAATGTTAAAAATAGATTCACCAGAGGGGCGCCTGGGTGGCTCAGTCTTTAAGCATCTGCCTTCGACTCAGGTCAGGATCCCAGGGTCCTGGGATCGAGCCCCACATTGGGCTCCCTGCTCCGCGGGGAGCCTGCTTCTCCCTCTCCCACTCCCCCTGCTTGTGTTCCCCCTCCCGCTATGTCTCTCTGTCAAATAAATAAAATCTTTAAAAAAAAAAAAAAATAGATTCGCTAGAAAAGGTTAAAAATATCTGATCCATCCTACCCCTATTCCTCTAAAAACTGTATCTAAGCCATTCCATACAAATTCTACCCACCTATTATGTCCACAAAATACGCTATATAGTCCTAAGCAAAAAGTTCATTTTTCATGTTCAATTTGCCAAATAATTTTAAAAGCCTCATCACTGACTTTTAAATAACAGACACGTATTGTCCAAATACTAAAGCTAGTTTCTTCTTTTCATCCTTTCCTTTTGATCTTTAAACAGAACCTAGGACCCCATGGCAGAGACAAAAGTGTTGAATCTTCTATGTGCACTGTTCAGATCTCAAAAGGAAAGAGAAAGAAGTACAGCGTAAGAATGTCAGCCCTCTGGTCAGAATTCCGAGGTTCAAAATCTGGCTCAGTCATTTACCAGCTGTGTGACCTTGGGCAAGTTACTGAATCTCTGACTCTCAGTTTCCTCACCTATAAAAAGAAAATATTTTAATAAATAGAGATCATAGTACTTCTCACCAGATTGTTATAGGCAGAAAATCAGATAAGGCACCGAAAGTACTCAGCAAAGTACTTGGCATAGAATAACCAGTCAATAAATGTTAGCTATTAATATTCTACATGCTTTTCTAAAATTCAAGAAATTTCTCTGTGTAGTTTCAAAAGAAAAAGAGCTTGATGGGGGAGGGGGAGAACAAAGATTAAGTAATCTTTATTATAAAGACAGCAACTCAATCAATTGCTCTAGGTGGAAAATTGGGCACATTACCAGAAACAAGAATTACCACAATGCCCGTGAACTTTCCACACCCCATCCACAAACTTTGGCAATCTTCACCTTCTCTTTTGGGCCAAGGATCTGAACTCATATCTGTTAAGAAAAGGTGGAGCTCAATATCAAGGTAAGTGCAGAGATACAAAGTCATAACACCAAGGTGTGGAGAAAGCTCAAGCTAGCAAACCTGACTGCTGCCATCTCCAAATTTTGCAAAATGCATACACAAAAGGCTGAAAATTGGAGGGGGGGGGGTCAAAAATTGAGTTTCAGTGACTGTTTGCCATCATATTACTGCATTGTAATGCAAAACCCTAGATACCAAGAAGGTGGTAAAAAGCAGAATATGTCTGGTTTAGGGCAAAGTTATGTTACATCGATATTCTTCTCATGTTATGGTATTAAACCAACCAGACTGAGAAGACCTAGGATAATTTGTAGACTTAAAGACCCCATACTCTTTTTTTTTTATAATTGGCATGTGTTAGCAACAAAGAGACTATCCCATCTCCCCACTTCTGGCCAGAGTGAATAAATCTAAATTAGGACTATCCCCAAAGGGTAAGAGACTGGCCTGGAGCTAGCCTCAGCTGGTCAGAAGAAAACTGCTTCAACTTGGGAACAATAAGAAAGACTAAGACTCTTGGTGCTGTTACACAGATGATGGTAAGATGATAACCACCTCAGCATTACTCTGTACTTCACAAATCTCAGGTACTAAGTACATAAATCTCCGTAACATTCTCCAAACAACTCTGAAGGCATAAGTAAGACAGTCACATCTCAGTGATCCTTGCTAAGAAAGACCCAGGTTACTGACCAAGAAGAGGCCCTGACATACAGCACTGACAATGCTTAAGTCCAATGAAATTGGGAGTTCCATTCACTTTCAAAGGAAGGGACTTTTTCCATTGGCTTATTTCCGGGGGCGGGGCGGGGGGGGGGATCTGTCCTCCACAAAATACCTTGAAAACTAGAACCCCCTAATTGTAGAAAACAGTCTCTGGACGTTAAGATCTCTTGGACACCGTCAGCTGGACATCAACTTGTTCCGGGCTGATCACAGAGGGCTTACTTCTATCACCAAGGCACTTAACTCACCACCTTCGTCCTCTGCGGGGGAAGAGGACAGTAAAAGTATTTTGGAAAAATGCCCAAGAAAGGAAAAAGCTGACCGGTTTCCTGAGGGTGTCTCCATCCCTCCGGGCTAGTATGTGGTGACTTCCTACCAAAGGCCAGCAGGGGAGAATAGCTCTCCAAACCAAACCCGGCTCTCTAACACTACAGGAAATGTTTCTCCTAAAAAGCCACTTGTAGGATTATCGAATCCATTCTGGGAACCGCTGCCAAGTGATGCCCCCGCAGTGCCAATATCCCCCTCAGCTCTTTGTCCCCACGTTGCCCGGCCCTGCCCTTGTGCCTGGTCCGGGCGCTAGCCCCACCCTGGGGCCGAAGCAGTTCCCCTTCCCCTGGGCTGTCCTCCCAAGTCACACCCAGAGGCCTGGGTCAGCGGCTCCTCCTCCCCCCCACACACACCCGCTCGTGGTGGGAACGAGCCCAGGCACCAGGCTACCCCCTGCCGTGGCCACTCCAGCCCTCTGCCCACGTCCCTCGTGGAGGTCAGCTCTCGAAGAGCAGCCGGCCAGGCTGGGGAGTTCCGCGGCCCTCACCCCGCCCGGGGCCTCCCGTCCCGTCCGTCCTCACCGGGCGGAGGCTGGGCGGGCGACGGTGGCACAGACGGGCGCGGGCCGCTGCTGTTGATGATGTAGTGGGAGACGCGCGAGTTCTCGGAGACGCTGAGCACATAGTCCCCGGGGCTGGTGCTCGAGTCCCGCACCAGAAACACCCCGTGCCGCTGGCCCTGCAACAGCGCCACCGCCTCCTGCCGGCTCAACCGCCCCCAGTACCAGCTACTCCGCTCCTCCGAGTCGAAGTTGCCCGCCATGGCCGCCTCCGCGCCTACACGCTGGGCCGCCGCCGCCGCGCGCGCCCCTCCTGCCCCGGCGCCCGCCGCCCAGCGGACCGGCTCCGGTCTCAGCCTCACAGCAGTGCCCGAAATGGCGGCGGCGGCCGCGGGCCTTCCCCACCGGAAATGACGCGCACCTTGCCCCCGCGAGGATGCCGGGAAGGGGACCGCAACCCGCCATTGGGAGAAGGGCAAAGGACGGCTCGAGCGCGCACTGCGCACGCGTTCTCACGTGCGTCGCTGCCTGGCAGGGATCGGAACTGCAGGGCATGGAGAGGCGAAGTCCGGGGCACCGGGTAGGGGCGCAGCCAGCAGATGGCCGGCCCGGGTTTGTATCTGCGCTTTTGGCCGGACGCCCCTTTGCTGCACCGGGCTTCAAATTCCTGGAAGGCCCAGGATTTCTAGGCAGCGACTCCGAGACACAACTGGAGTACAAAAGATGGATGTGGCCCCAGGGCCTGAGCTCCTGGAGACGTCAGTCTTTTTCTTGTGGTTCCTCCAGCTTCTCTGTAGACTGGCTAGTTTTTTGTTTGCATTGATTCATTCAGCAAATAGTTATTGACACCACATGTGCCCTGTGGGTGCAAAGGTGATCAAGGCTGGGCCCTGACCTCACAGAATTCACAGACGAGTGGGAGGAACCAGGAAACAATGACAAGGGAATGCCAAGCGCTACGATAGGGACCCAACCCAACAAGGGGCTCTAGGAACACAGAGCAGGGCCCCCAATCCAGTCTGTAAAGGGGTTCAGTATGAAGTGGCCTACCAGAGGAGGTGGCTTGAGCTGAATGTTGAATGGCAAGTGGGGGAAGAGCGTTCAAGACGGAGCCGAATGTGCTAAACCAGGTAGAAGTATGGAGCTCTCTCCACTGAGTCTCTCAGGCTATTTGTCCAGTTGTGGCCACGGGTATCCTCTAAACCCTAGTTGTGGCCACGGGTATCCTCTACTCTCCCTCCTATCGTGATCTCTATCTCTGTATTGAGTATCTATAGCTGTCTTCCTGTGAACAGCTTGCTCACTGGTGCTCTGTAGTGCATTGCACACATCTGCCCACGTGTGCTTTCTAAATTACAACTCTAAGTCTGTTGCTACCCTGTGCACAACTTTTAACAGTCTCCAGATGCTAAAATTCCCAGTTTAGCTCACAGCATAAAATGGGACCACAGTCTCCTCTTAGCAGCTTCTACATGAACCCTGTGTTTCTTCTTTCTGGAATACGCTTCTGGAATAGCTTTCCGGATCTCAAATTCAAATGTCTCCCCTTTTTTGACCAACCATCACTCCCTCTCTGTATCCACAGCACTGTGTCCATATTATTTCCATTACAGTTCCTGCCTATTGTGCTGTAATCTTTCATTTACAGGTCTGTGTCCCACGCTAGAGCTCCTCAAAGGCCAAGCATCTCGTGTAGGAGGCACTACATAAATGTTTTATGAGAATGGCTAACGTTTATTCAGGGACTACTACCTGCCAGGCATAGCGCTAACTGCCTTTATATGGATCATCTCATTTAATCCTCTTAACAACCTCATAGGTGGTATTTTACAAACATCCCCATTTTACAGGTGAAGCTCCAAGAGGTTATTTGTCCAGAGACACACAGCTGCTGAGTGGGGAGCTGGCATTCAAATCCTGGAAGGAGCAGAGAGCTATGGTCACTGTGCTATGTCCTCAGACTTCTGGAATAGGCATGGAGGGGGACAGATGGTTGGGGCAGGATGGCAGAAATAGACATTAAGAAAAAAAATGTATCAGTCAGTCCTGGGTTTTGATCTTACATGAATAACACACCTCTTCCGGATCTACTTCACAAACCTTGGGCCTGCTCTGGGAAGGGAAGGGGAGCAAAGGTACCTTGCCTGCTGTGACTCACTGTGACTCTGGCGTGGTCACAGCGTGTTACCACAGGCCAGCAGCAGAAGCCATCCCCGTGTGAATTCTGGCCCTCTGGGAAACAGAAGTGCCTGCCCTTCCCTCATCTAGGATGGCAGAGCTTTGAGGCAGGGCCTCACCCAGAGACTGCTTGTGAGTTCTGATGACAGAAAACATACTTTAAAAGAAGAAAAGGGAAAGAGGAAGAAAGGAAGGAAGGAAAGAAGGGAGGGAGGGAGGAAGGAAACAGATCACAACTAAGCTGGATAATAAGCAAGGAGATTGGCAAGGAGGGGAGACCTAGACCCAAGGGACGTTTAAAAAAAAAAAAAAGATTTTATTTATTTATTTGACAGAGAGCCAGAGAGAGCCAGAGAGCAGAAGCAGGGGGTAGTGGCAGAGGGAGAAGGAGAAGCAGTCAGCTGTGTCTGACTCTTGAATCCAGCTCAGGTCTTGATGATTTCAGGGTCGTGAATTCAAGCCCCGCATTGGGCTCCATACTGGAAATGGAGCCTACTTTATTTTTTTATTTTTATTATTTTTTAAATATTTTATTTATTTATTTGACAGAGAGAGAGAGCACAAGCAGGGGGAGCAACAGAGGAAGAAGCAGGCTTCCCACGGAGCAGGGAGCCCTATGCGGGACTCGATCCCAGGACCCCGGGATCATGACCTGAGCTGAAGGCAGCCGCTTAACCGACTGAGCCACCCAGGCGCCCTGGTGCGAAGCATTCTTGGTTACCTCTCTAAGGACAAGGGTCCGCGGGTCCCTGTGGGTTGTCTGTGACGTCACTCCGGCACACATTCCATGGGTAAGATGAAGGAGTGTTGCGGCAGTCGCAGAGCTGGTCATCCGCCCGGCGCAATGCTTATCTTATCTGTCGGCTTCCTGCAGCCCCCGTTGCTACTGATAGAGCGGACTAATTACTGTGGTGCTTTCATTTTTCTGTAATTTGTTGGGCGGGGGGAGTGTCAAATCTAGGTGTGGGCACAGGACTGCGTTCAAGCCCAAGATAGTTGCACATTCATCAGGAACTTCTGCCCCAGACCTGCATCTAAACGCCTCTGCAGGTAGCTTGACCCCAAATTAAACTTGTTCTTGCCTTTAAAGCCTTCATGTGCCATCCCTTCTGCTCACAACGCCTCTCCCACTTGGGAAAGCTCTTAGCCATCTGCTGAGGAGTTCTGTGGAGGCAGCCTGTGACACTCATTCCCTTTCTTCTGGAGGCAACACTTTGCTGATCTTTTGGGAAGCCATCGGCTCCCGGCTCTTGGACCACGAGTCAGGTGTGGTCCATGCTGCTTCTGTCCTGGGGGTGGGGTCGGGGCTTAGACGGGGGACCCAGGCCTGGCAGGCACATGTCAGAATATGCTCTCCTCCCAAGGGGAACCCTCCTACACTGTTGGTGGGAATGCAAGCTGGTGCAGCCACTCTGGAAAACAGTATGGAGATTCCTCAAAAAGTTGAAAATAGAGCTACCATACGATCCAGCAACTGCACTACTGGGTATTTACCCCAAAGATACAAAAGTAGGGATCCGAAGGGGTACGTGCACCCCAATGTTTATAGCAGCAATGTCCACAATAGCCAAACTGTGGAAAGAGCCAAGATGTCCATCGACAGATGAATGGATAAAGAAGATGTGGTATATATATACAATGGAATATTATGCAGCCATCAAAAGGAATGAGATCTTGCCATTTGCAACGATGTGGATGGAACTGGAGGGTATTACGCTGAGCGAAATAAGTCAAACAGAGAAAGATATGTATCATATGACCTCACTGATATGAGGAATTCTTAATCTCAGGAAACAAACTGAGGGTTGCTGGAGTGGGGGGTAGGGTGGGAGGGATGGGGTGACTGGGTGATAGACACTGGGGAGGGTATATGCTCTGGTGAGCGCGGTAAATTGTGCAAGACTGTTGAATCTCAGATCTGTACCTCTGAAACAAATAATGCAATATATGTTAAGAAAAAAAAAGAAGATAGCAGGAGGGGAAGAATGAAGGGGGGAAATCTGAGGGGGAGACGAACCATGAGAGATGATGGACTCTGAAAAACAAACTGAGGGTTCTAGAGGGGAGGGGGGTGGGAGGATGGGTAGCCTGGTGATGGGCATTAAAGAGGGCACGTTCTGCATGGAGCACTGGGTGTTATGCACAAACAATGAATCATGGAACACGTCATCTAAAACTAATGATGTAGTGTATGGTGATTAACGTAACAATAAAAAATTTAAAAAAAAAAGAATATGCTCTCCTCCCTAACTACAGTGACTGAGTCAGGGAAGAGCACTTCAAGTTGGCCCACCGTGCGTCGGCTCTGAGATTTTCGGCTGACTGGGAAACTTTTTTCCCACCTCGTATGCTAACCTGGCAGAACGAACACCCACGGCTGCTGCTCGCAGCCTTGCTACGAGCGGAGAGCTTGCCCGACGATGGAGCCACCAGAGCAAGGCTGAGCCAAGAGATGGCTCCAGACACATTCCTGACAATGTTGAGTGCCTAGAAGCAGCCCTACCCTGAGACTGGTAGGTTGCTAGTGCTAATAAATGCCTTTTCTGCCCAACCCAATTTAGATGATATTTGCCACTTGCAACAGAATTTGGAGCCTATCCTTTGGGACCCACGCCAAAGGTCGTCTTCTCTCTGAAGTGTTTGTGACCCTTCTCCCTGACTTGAGCCAGTCATGAGTCCGTGTGCCCCGTGGGGCCCGCACTTCCCACACCGGGCTGTGTCTGTCCGCTGGGCTGAGGACCACCGGGCAGCAGCTGGGTGTGATGTGTCTTCCCCTGGCCCACAGCACTGGGCCAGGCTGAGCAGCCGTGCCGTAGAACAGTCATTGAGAGAGCAAGTCCAGGGGCGCCCGGGTGGCTCAGTCGGTTAAGCGTCTGCCTTCGGCTCAGGTCATGATCCCGGGGTCTGGGATCGAGCCCCACATCGGGCTCCCTGCTGCGCAGAAGAGTCTGCTTCTCCCTCTCCCTCTGCCCCCCACCCCGCTCATGCTTGTTCTCTCTCAAATAAATAAAGTCTTAAAAAAAAAAAGAAAGAGCGAGCAAATCCATGTTGCAGCTACCGGTTACCTCTGCTTTCCTTTGGGGAAGGAGCCCTGCCTTCTTCCTTCTGTGGACAAGGCAAAAATTCTAATACAATTCTAATACCATTCTAATTCTAATACAAGACCGCTGGTTGCCTTTTAGGGGTCTTCTCCCTCTCCTAACATTCACGAGCAGACAAGCATTGGCAAACACGTATT